GGTTCTAGGATACACCCTTTGGTTGGTTGATGATGCATGGAGGGGATTGGAACCATGGCAATGAAATGATACACGATGGAATGAATGTAAAACTAAAGTTCTCTCATGTAAACTATCATATAATTCACAATAAAACATTAAAAAAAAAAACCTCAAAATAATAATTTTAAAAAGACCAGGTATGATAGAGATTGGAAAATGCTCTGAGACAATGACCCTTAGTCACCCTTCATATCTGGAACTGAACTCACCTCCCCCCAACCTCACCCCCCCACCCCCACGCCCCCGCAATTTTCAGCCAAACAACAGACAGGTTTATAAGGGAAGCAATGACACTAGGGAGATCTTCACACCTTAAGATAATCAACCATCTGATGTTAAAAGGGCAGCATTTACCCAAGGACAAAGCTCAGAAGGGTTAGGAAAGGAGGAGGAATGGAAACAGGAAATAGGGAGGAAGTGGGATGAGGAATGTTACATTATGGAAATGACAATCAATGACATGAAACAAAATGTGTGTCGGTTGTTGAATGTTAAACTGATCTGCTCTGTAAACTTTCACTCGAATCACAATAAAAACTTACATATTCAAAACAACTATGGATCACAGCAGTCCAACCCAGGGGGATGGCGCAGGACAGGGCAACATTTTGTTCTATTGTGTCAAGTCCACAGCAATTAACAAGACCATGTAATTCTCAAGTCCTGACAAGCTCCAGTAGGAACAAAAGTCAGCTGTCCCAGCCCTCTGGGTCTGAATCCTCGCTGGCTGATGCTGACAGTTCTCTTCAAAGTCCACAGAAGACACACCTGAGGTGAGTGGCAATAGTGTGGCTCAGTGGTAGCATTCTCCCCATCCATTTTGGAGATCCAGTCATCAGAGCAAACGGCATGGCCGAGCCTTGTATGTCACCAGCTCAGCCCCTCAGGGTTTTTGTGTCCCTTCCACCTTCTAATCACTTTCTTGTAAAGTGATTTCAGGGAGCAGCATGTCGTGACCAGTCTAACCTGCACTAAAACACTGAATTACTGCCCCAGAGGCAGATTGAGGAGCCTTCGTGGAGGAGTGGGTTTTGCTTTGAGCTGCTAACCAAAAGGCCAGTGATCCAAGCCCTTCAGAGAAAGATGAGGCTGTCTGCTTGCACAAAGATTCTCAGCCTTGGGAACCCTATGTTCTTGTTGTTGAGTCAATTTCAACCCATAGAAACCCTGTATAGGGTTTTCCAAGGGAGCAGCTGGTGAGCTTGAACCACCGACCTTGCAGTTCAAAAGACTGCAGTCTGACGTGTTAGCCCACAGCGCCACACCAGGGCTCCATGGGAAACCCTATGGAGCAGTGTTATCAGATGCTGTGAGTTGGAATCAACTTGATGGCAGTGGGTTTGGGTTGGGGATTTTGAGGAAGGGACTAATGGCATGAAGTCACATGAAGCTTGGGGCATGGAGGAAGCAGACAACTCTGGGAGATGCTCTGGCAGTCTCAAAGTGCTTTCAAAGTTCTCTGAACAGATGAGTGCTGTTGATACCAAACAAGCCCACCGGCTGTCCTTTTCCTGCTATCCTGAAGCCAGGCTGTGGAAGCTTGGGCAGGCCCTGAGGGTGTTGAGTTTTGGTTCTGTTTTTACTACAAAGCAAAACTAGTGGTCCCAGATTGGAGGAGGAACTGAGCAGATGAGGGAAAGCGCCCTCTCCACCTGCTCCCCACTCCTAGCTCACTGCCATCAAGTCCATTCTGACTCATAGCAACCTACAGGACAGAGTAGAACTGCCCCTAGTGTTTTTGAGCTGCAATTGCTTAACCCACTGTGCCACCAGGACACCTTCCTTACTCCCAAACCAAAAAAAATAAAGAAAATAAGAAAGAAAAGAAAACATTTCTAAATGTAAAATGCATAAAACCAGTTGCCACTGAGCCGACTCTGGATTGTGGCAACCCATTGTGTTCCTAGGAGCTCCAATGGCTGGTTCTGGGGAGGTAGGTTGCCAGGCCTTTTCTTCTGAGGTGACAACCTTTGGGTTAGCGGACAAGTTTGTCATTTGCACCTCCCAGGAACTCTGTGAAATGCTTGACCAGATAAGGAATATTCCAGGGGCCAGAAGCCAGGAAGTAGTTCAGCATTCTTGAGTTCAGTAGGAGTTACAACTCTGTACCCAGGTGTTGGGAGCCCTGTGGGCTCTCCTTGTAAACCCAGGCGCTGGAAAAGGCAAGAATGTTGGAACAATGGGGTCTGAACTTTCTTTCCACCTTCAATGTGGGAAGCACAGAGCCAGGAGTGAACAGTTTGTTTGAGTCAAAGTTCAGAAGGGTTGGGAAAGAAGGAAGAATGGATGTAGGAAAAAGAGGGAGGAGGTGGGGTAAGTGATGTTATATTGTGGAGATTGCAATCAGTGAGATGAAACAAAATGTGTATAAATTGTTGAACAGAAAACTGATCTGCTCTTTAAATCTTTACCCAATTCACAATAAAAAGGCTTTTTTTTTTTTTAATTAAAAAAAATTTTTTAAGCTGGTCTGGGGTGCAAAGCCCCATCAAGCTGCCCACACGGAGGCTGGGCTGATCAACACAGTTCTGGGCACTCAAGGTCACATTGGAGGGCAGTGCAAGGGCAGAGAGGGTACCCACCTGCCCACATTGTGGGTAGCCATGATGTGGAGCACCTCGGTGGTCTTTATCCTCACCATGGGATCAACATCCTTAAGCAAGGCCTTCAGGCTCTCCAGGCAGCCTGTGGAGCAGAAATGTTTCTAAACACAGTCTGAAGGAAGCCAGCAGGCTCAGAGTCACTGAGTGGGGCCCAGACACCCACCAGAGTTAACAACACTACATTGGAGGGATGGAGGTCAGACTGTACCCCTACTCCAACCTACTCACATGACCTGGAGCAGGTCCCACCCAGGATAGTCAGATTTAGAAGAAAGAAAAAAAAAATCCTGTTTTATTCAGCTATGCAAACAGACACATGCACACTGATGTGCAATGCAATGCTATTTACAACCACCCCAAAGTGTAAATAACCAAAGTGTCCATTTCCAGATGACTGGATCAACAGAACGTAATCTATACATGCAATGGAATATTTTGTTCTTATTGTTAAATGTCATAGAGTCAGTTCAACTCATAGCGACCCTAGATATGGTTTCTGAAGAGCAACTGGTGGAGCTGAACTGCCGACCTTGCAGTCAGCAGTCCAGTGATTATCCTACAGTGCCACACCAGGACTCAGCCATAAAGAGAATATTGTATGAGGCCACTATTATAAAAAGTCAAGAAAAGTGTTTCACATGAAAAGAAACGTTCTTTGAAGGTTAGTTAGCAGGGGTGGGAGGGCAAATTACTAGCTAGAGGGTACACACATATGTATTAACTTGGGTGATAGAGAAGGCAACATATAATAAAAAGAAGGTCAGCAAAACATGATAAGAGCAAAGGAAGAAGCTTGAAGGAATACAAGAGTTAAAGGTAACAGAGGTCAATATTGTTATATACACAATCCTGCAATGACAGTGATTAGGAGTAGATGAATAGACAGACACACAGGCTGAGCAGGTGTGAAAGGGTGAGTTGGCATTTTCAGGGCAGCTAAATTTTTATTATGGCTCTTTCTAGTCAAATTTCTCCATTTTGTGATATATTATAAATCCTATGATGTATCTATGCCTACGATTACAGACCCATTTTGAAATGAGTTGCTAAGGTGTAAAACTTAGGTGGGGCTAAGAAGTAAAGATTACAGTGGAACTGAGGATTAAGGGTGCACCCTTACTAGTATGGTGCTGTAGGATACGCACTGGACTTCAAACCTCAAGGCCAGTGGTCCAAATCTAACAGCTGCTTCTTGGAAATCCTGTACAGGGTTGCCAAGAGTCAAAATCAACTCAACAGCCCTTAACAACAATTACACCTTACTAACGGGTATGACTCAAGTCACCTCCCCTGGTCTGACTCCATTTTATAAGACTGCTTTGGGCAGATTTTCTCTCTTGCCCTGGATTTACATCTGGCTCATTATATCTGGCCTCTAGTTTGTGGGACTTTTGGTCCATCACCTGACCCAATTCACCAGCTCCTGCAGCCTAGTGCATCAACAGCCTGTCATCTGACCTGCCAATTTGAGTCCCTCAGCTCCTTAGACTATGTGGATGAGAAGATTCCTCCAGACTGATCTCTGAAGTATGGATTTGGGACTTCCAGCCTCCACAATTGTATGAGCCACTTCTTTTGACAATTGTGACTTTTGTGAGATTTTGAAGCTTGCTGTAGAACCCTGGTACTTCAAGGAAAGGAGGATGGTGATTGATATCAAGGATTACGGAGGGGTCCTGCATTCCAGTCACCACCACTCATCTGTCAATTTGTCCTACTGTGGCGGCTTGTGTGTTACTGTGGTGCTGGAAGGTACGCTGCTGGTATTATAAATATCAGCAGTATAAACCCATGGTTCCAGCTGACTTTCCAGACAAAGACAGACTAGGAAGAAGGAGAGGCAGACTACTTCTGAATGTTTAGCCACTGAAAACCTTATGAATAGCAGTGGAACACTGTCAGATAGCACCAGAATGTTGACTAATGAAAAATTATGAATAGCACCAGAATATGTCAGAAGGTGAGTCCCTCAGGTTGGAAGGTACTCAAAATACAACTAGGGAAGAACTGCCTCCTCAAAGGAGAGTTGACCAGGATGGCAGGAATGGAGTAAAGATTTAGAAACCTTCATTTGCTGGTGGGTCACAACTCAAAATGAGGAGAAACAGCTGCAAATGGCCATTAATAATCAGAACATGGAATGTACAAAGTATGAATCTAGGAAGTTGGAAGTTGTCAAAATTAAATGAAACACAAACATCAATATTCAAGTGAGCAGAAATGGACTGGTATTGTCATTTTGAATCTGACAATCAAATGGCTTACTATGCCAGGAATGACAGAGTGAAGATGAATGGCATCACATTCATCATCAAAAAGATGTTTTGTATTGACAAAAAAAAAAAAAAAATGGGCCCTGACCCAGAGGTCCCTTAGCCTGTTACTCTGAGTGGAGCCAGTATGTCAGGAAGACGTAGGCTCCTTGCCTCCATATACTTTGCACCCCATGCCCTGTGAGGTGAATACCCAGTGGCCCTAGTCCACCAACCAAGTTCAGCCAAAATATGACACACAAGGTCTCACAGACAGCATTGAAGGCAGCCACAGCCACCTCCAGCCGCACGCAAGTGTTAGCGCTTTACCAGGCGATGCTAAGAGAGAGCAAGTATTTCAATGCTGACAATTATAGAAATGTCAGTTCCAGATTCGAAGATGGCAGACTAGGCAGAAAGGTTGTGTGGACCCCCTGCAGCAAGGGTAGGAAAACCAGGTGAGACTGATGCAGAGGATGGTCCTGGAACACTGAACTTCAGATAAAGGGATACATAAGTGGATTGAGTGCTACTGAGAGAAAGAGTTGAACAGACATGGAAAGAAAGGAGGTGACTTTTGATTTGGGGTGGCCGATGGGACCTGCTGCAGCCATTTTGAGCACGTGTGAGTGGATTAAGAGACAAGAAACATTTGTGTTGCAGAAGCTAGCCTGTGTCTCACAGAGACAAAGGTAAGATTTATTTGTTTTGTTTTCTCTTTTCTTCTCTGGTTCCTTCCACATCCCTAGTGACCAGAAGTGACCTCTATGAGTGTACATCCCCATGGGAGGTCCTGCATTCCAGGTGGGCAGAAACGTGCAGACCCCATGACTGTGTGCACAATTTAAGGGATAGGAGACAGCAGCAATAACCTTACTCTGCAGGCCCTACTCCAAATCTGCAAAGTTGGACCTGGGCTAGCTCTCACTAGAAGAAGTGACTGAGCGGATGTGTGAGGTAGGAGAAAGGGGAAAGAAAAAGGAAAAGACTGGTTCCGGGTCAGAGAGAAGCAACAGGACCATCCTGAAGTTTCTCAGGCAGCTGTGAAAGCAAGAGGCCAGTAGGTGGCAGAGAAGCATTCCTCTTATTTTCCCCGCTGGTGATTGTTATTTGTTTTCCTTCTCCCTTGTGTTTTTCATTCTTGCCGCACCCAACGGGAGACAGTAACTGCAGCCATACAGCCCAACCATAGTCATACCCTCTTCAGCCTCACCAGCTGAGCTAGAGTTCTTACCAGTTGCTATACTGGTGTGGTGCTGCGGGTTAATGTGTCAGATTGCAAAGCCGTTTGAACTGCAAGGTTGGTGGTTCAAGCTCACCAGCTGCTCCTTGGAAACCCTATACAGAGTCGCTATGGGTCAGAATCGACTCGACAGCACTTGACAAAAATAGCATATACCAGATCGATGACAACAACCAACCTCAGCTAAATTCATCCTGAATTGAACTATATGAACAGCAAAAGAAAATAGATCAGGGGCTAATCTTGATCATATCCACCAGAAGGCAGCTGGTGAGTGCCTAAGAATACACCAACATAAATTCAGTAACTTAATACAAATACAACACCTCCACAATGCCTCAAAAGCAACAGACAATCTTTGTTCACATGAAAAAACAAACAAACAACAAGAGGCAAGGCTAGAAAATGTTTTTGAGGAAAAAAGAGATACTGGAACTCCTTGAAAAAGAGTATAAGAGAATGGCATTTAGGTACCTCCAAGGAGTCCTGGTGTGGTGCTGTGGGTTAATAAGCTGGACTGCAAAAAGTCAGTTTGAACCACAAGGACAATAGTTTAAGCTCACCAGCTGCTCCTTGGAAATTCTATACAGGATCATTATGGGTCGGAACCAACTTGACAGCACTTAACAACAACAAAGAGTCCTGGTGTGGCACTGTAGGATAAGCACTCAACCTCAAGGTCAGTTTGAACTGCAAGGTTGGTTCAAATTCACCAGCCACTCCTCAGAAACCCTATACAGGTTTGCTATGAGTCAGAACCAACTTGACGGCACTTAGAAACAACAATAAGTTATTGAAAGAAAGGTTCAGGAAAACAAGGAAAAATTCAGAAAAGCACTACAGAAACAATCAAACAAAATAAAGGTTTGGAGACAATACAAAACTTGCTAACAGAAATCCAGATTAATAATAATATATGAAATGGACAATATACAGAAAGGGCAAAGGAGTAGATTTGAATAGATGGAAGCCAGAATTGGTGAGTATGAGGATAGATGTCTCTCAATGCTGGTAAGCTAGAAGAACCATCAGGGGAAAAAAGGAAGAAGAAAACCAAAGATTCATGTGGGATAATATGAAAAGGAATAACCTATGGGTGATTGGAATTCCTGAACAGGAAGAGACAAATAGAACCACAGAACAGATAGTCAAAGATCTGCTTGAAGAAAATTTCCCTAACATGATGAAATATAATAAGATAAGCATACAAGAAGCTGAATGAACTCCAGGCAGGAGATGCCCCAAAAGAAAAATCACCAAGACATATAATCAAACTCTCCAAAACCAAAGACAAGGAAAAAATCCTGAAAGCAGATCAGAAAAACAAAATATTACCTACAAAGGAAAACCAGTAAGATTAAGCTCTGATTTCTCAGCAGAAACCATGCAGACAAGAAGGCAATGGGGTGACATATACAAAACTCAGAAAGAAAAATAACTGCCAACCAAGAATCATATACCCAGTAAAATTGCCCCTCAGATATAATGGTGAAATTAGAACATTTCCGGATAAAGAGAAATTAAAGGACTTTGTAAAAAAACAAAAAAAACGCAAAAAAAAAAAAAAATACTACAGGGAGTTCTTTG